GTGGGTTCCCTGTGGCCTCATGGTAGGCTGCTTGAGGGGTACCCCACCGGTCTATTTGCGAACTGTCGACCGAGGCCAAACTGGCCTGGAATTTTGGGCCTCACGGGGCACCAGCTTGGTAGTATTCGCATAACATTTCTTGTGGCATGGCAGCCATCTATTCATATAGATCGGCTCCATTTATTGGTGCCCCGAACAGTTTTTGAATTGTACAGATGGGGAACACAAAGTATCTCCATGATCTCAAAACAAAGAGTTTGAGAATGATGTCATGTCAATCCAACAAAAATGTTAAGGAGGCGTGGCACATTCACTATCGCACGCTTTGGTGCAAATCACCCCATTATCATTTGACAGGCATGAAATTGTCACCACTTTGGAATGTTTAGTATGCACAGAATATTTGATATATGGACATCATTCTATAAGCAGAACAATCGCGCAGTACTGCCACAACTTTGTCGATGCGGCGGGCCCCAGGTATTTCCTATTGTACTCTAGGGTTTATGTGATATTGTGCCAACAGGTGCAGCAGTTGTATAAATACAATTGTTGGGGGTTGTGTTGTAGTATGCATGCTCAACCCCAGTATTAATTCCCCGCACCTATTTCACTGAATATATGCATGCAATTGGAGTATGCAGTATTGATTAGAGTTCGTGCTTCTCCTGTTGCTGACAATATGAGTTGCCCTTGTCTATATCATTCATGACAACCATGGAAGGCGTTATTGCACTACAGCCAATATTTCCATAAATGTGTGACCCAGTCTAAATGGCGGTACTTATCTATCCTAATTATAGATATTCTATCTTGGTCATCAAGGCGTCCCTCTATTGGTCCATGTCTGGCAAAAAGTCTGCCGTTTGTGCCTTGAGTTCGCGACCTCAACATCCACACCTTGCAATAGCTGCAACATGCCTCATTCACATGATTGCGGTCACCAGATAGCATCTCGAATCACGTTTTGAGTCTGACTCGAGATGCTGAATAGGAGAGTCCTTGTTGCGGCCCGCAGGCGGCCGCTGGTTTCCGGAGTTTGGGGGCGGTCGCCGCACCCGATGGCGCGGCCTCGATGCCGCGCCTCTCCGCCGGATTGCGGCGGGCGTTGGCGGGGTGCTCGTTTCTTCGGTAGCGCGGTGGGCCCTTGGGACGCTCGGGGACCTTCCCCAAAGCCTGCCGTGTGCAGGCGGTGGAGTCGCGGCGGCGTACGGTGGTTCGCTGCCTCGCGGCGGGGCAGAGAGTGGGCCCGAATGGCGATTATAGTCTGACACAATGCGGCGCGCATCCAATGTACCTGCGCGATGCCCGGTCGCGGGTCCATCGCATCACATCAGACAAGACAACACAGTGTAATGTACGGACCATGTCCCAGCGCCCCCGGTCACCTATAATCACCCTAATCTAGCTCTAATTCCAAACATCCCCACCCAGCACCCGGCCTCAAAGTACTACGTCGTCAATAGGCCGTATCTTCCTCAATAATCCTCAGAATCGAGTGCTGAAAGAAGCGTTGGAATCAGGAAGTCATAAATAAACCGTAGAATAGGATGACTCAGCGAGATTACGTAATATAACTGCAGAAAACACCATAAACTGCCTGCCCCCAAGTAGCTCCACAACAGTCCTCTAACAACATTGCCCTTGGCAAATCACACTGCTGATCTACATCAAGACGAATGTGCAACATCGCGCAACTTCGATCCTGTGCAACAATTGTGGCATATTCGTGGCATTCGTGGCTTATTCAATTGTGGGATATTGTTTTGCGAGCGAATGCCCCAAAACTAGACCCAGCACTGCGCACGCTACAGACCGAAATCGCATGGATAAACTCCAGCCTTGCACTGGAATCAGCTGCCCCACCTTTCGAGCAATTCGGCAAGAGCAGAAACTTCAGCTTCTTGCCAACAGGGGGAACATCCACAATGCAATGGCCGCTCTGCATCCCAAAGGTGTGCACATCGAGGAAGGCAAGTCTTGACAGGAGCTGATTCGTACCATAGTATATTCGACCCTTCCGCATCAAAAAAATATTACCATTGTGCTTTTGCTCCTCATTTCGACTTATGTTCTTGTGTGAAAAGCCATGTAAAGTTGTGTAAATATAGGCTCTGTTTTGCGAGTACTATAGGGGGTGCAGGCCTGATCATTGCTTGCGATTTCAGCATGGAAAGTGCAGATGCAATGTACAGTGGAACCTCAAACCAGTGTATTGGATACGTACACTATGCAGACTGCGTAATGTACTACAGAAAGCGTGCCAAGCAAAAAAGGCATGCGCCGTCAGAGTCATGGAGGGGGCGCTGTGTGGGGATCGTATTGCACCAGCAGGCACATTTTCACAGGCACATTCCGCCCAGCTCCCGCCCTAATAACGGCAGCCTGCCCCAGACATCACCGGGATAAAAAAGCGCTCCGCGGGCTCCGGGACAGGTCACTTCGTGCCAGGTGCCCAGAAGGGAAGGCCACAGCTGGGAGGCGCCAGGAGAGCAGGGACGTCCAAGTTGAGCGGCGTTTGCCCGTCAGCCATCGATGGGCCTTGGCCGCCCATCGGCGCCGCCCGCCGGTGAGCGGGGCGTGCTGGCGACAGGGGCCGTTGGGGGCGGCGGGGCGGGGCATCGGCGCATCGGACGGTGTATTCGGGGCCCCGGGGAAGGGGCGAACGCGCTGCGAGATCCACAGGACCTTGCGCTCTGATAAAAGGGGAGGATATGGGTATATGTTATAGAGAGAAAGGAAAACCAGTCGTGCAAGGGGCACCGTGCCCTTAGCGGGTGCATGCGAGGCTCTCAAAGGGGGGGGGGGGGGACGAGGTTCGGCACAGTTCGCTGCGCCGAATGCTTGGTGGAATGGCCAGGCACAGGTCGGCACCACCCGTTGCGCCAAATGCTTGGTGGAATGGCCAGGCCCATGCCCTGCGTTGTTGCCGGCGTGGCTTTCCGGGAACATCGGGATCCGCCGGACGAGCGCTGGTTTGGAGAGGTTGGGGGGAGGGTTGGGGCCCGGAGCTGGTGCCTCGACAGCGACATCTCATCGCCCAAGGGAGCCTCGCCGGTCCAATTCCGGGCGCCGGGCTTAGATTCCACCAAAACCTGTCCATATTTCCAACCTGGCTAGAATTCATTTCTAGATGCGAAACAAAGGGAGCGGCGACGGGGGCAAGAGTTGGCGGCTCAAAAACTAAGGGAGTTGCGCGGACGGAATGACAAAGCACAAGGACTCACCGCTGCGTGGAAAGGGACTGGATTCCCTGTCTCGAGATTTCCCGTCACTGCTTCGGCGATTTTCGTTTGTAGCTCCACGATTGGGCGTCGTCCGTTTCCTTTCTGTGCGGGAGAGTACAGTGTCGCCCATGGGTTGGGGACATGAGCGCCGGGATGGGCTGATGGATACACAGCTGTTGTATCGGTATGTTCATGTTTGTGTTTGGCGTGCCTTGGAAGCTGCTTTCAGGAGTGCGATGGTCCCTTTTCTCGTAGGTATATTCTTTTTCCAGGCAGCCATGCCTGGAGCGACACGTGTCCCACCCCCAACACAATCTTTCCCATACACTTCTCAATGTGATGGTTGCATTTGGCGTGCTTTATCCAGCTTGCACTACTCAATGTCAATGATGGCTGCACCTGCTGGCTGCAGGCATGTTTTCGAATGCCCCGCCAAGGAATGCAGATGCGTATACGCCTATACCGAGAGATCCTTATGGATCAGACGCTTTTGAGGAAAAGAAGGGTGGCTATGAACTCGTCTCCCTGTTCTTCACTGCTGCCCTGTGGGGCATGGTCTGTGCAGTGGCACTGTGTGGGGGGGGATTGATCGATTCTTGCGGTGGTGAGACGGCAAACATTTTGCTCATCGTCCTGGCAGTTGTCGCCGCTGCTTATCTGATTGAGGTGAGGTGCTGAGCTGTGAAAAAAAATTATTTGCAACTGCACTTGGAGTGCAGCTCTTGACATATTGAAGCAATCGCCACTGTAGTGCCACACATATTGGCGGCACACCAAGAATTGCATGGCGGCATGGCATTCACAAACCATCTGTTTGTGTGATATCATATTTGCCAAGGAAAATCATACCAGCAAGAGCAACCCATCCCTTCCCTGTTCACGCTTCTTTTCTCTGCATGTGCCTGTCGATACTGCTACGCTGCGGTGTTTCTTTGCTTGTGGGTCACATGTCCAATGTTCTGGAGAGATTACCATCTGTTTGTGTGACATCATATTTGCCAAGGAGAATCATGCCAGCAAGAGCAACTCTTCCCTCCCTTGTTGACGCTCCTTTTCTCTGCAGGTGCCCGTCGATACTGCGACTCTGCTGTGTTTCTTTGCTTGTGGGTCACGTGTCCAATGTTGTCCGGCTCGGTGCTACAGGTTGGGTGCAGCTCAGCACGGAAGTACCTCTTCAACGCCCACACCTCCGAGGGAGCGGCCGACTACTTGAACAGGCTGAAGGCCACCACTCCGGTGCTTTATTGGAAGATGGTCTGCTACCACACTGATGTCTGGTACGACAAGGACGGGGATAGGAAAGAGAGGAGGGTGAACACATGGCAGGGCAGGAAGGACTTCCACTTTGATGGCTGGGAAGATGGCTCAGGGCCCACCACAGCGCTGAGGAACCACAGTGTGGTTAAACTGCGGGTGCTCAAGGTATGCGAGAGTTCTCGGCAGCTTCAGTCACTTTTGTTGCCAGGGATGGTTAGTGCAGTGAAATGTAGCGTGCAACCGAGCTGTTCTGAATTGTAGTGTGCTTATGCGCTGATGTGCTGACAGCTTGTCTGAAAGTAATGCGGATTACGTTTTATGAAGTATAAATGTCGTTGCAGGAGTTTGTGTGTGAGATGTTGCATGTATGAGCTCTATGCACACAATAGTTGAGACAGAGACCAGGAGGGATAAGACAACTGGGATACAGTTTGGACAACAGTTTTGCCATGTTTGTGTTGATACTGGCACCCTCTGGAACTAGGTGTGGATCGCTTTACAGCAGACATGTTTTGCAGGGGCGGAATCGCAGTCACAGTCTGTTGCCTTATAAGGTGTCAACAATTGTGTTCCCATGCAGTCCTCAGCTGCCCTTGCGATCTGCTGGTGGATTTAGAGTGATTCAATTCAGTCAGTGTGCATGAAAACTGCATTTTTCTGCATAAGCATCGCTTGTGCAGCTGTGTGTTGAAGGTCGGTTAGAGAAAAAACTGATATTGTCATTTCTGTGCCTTGAACTCTTGCTCCTACTGTTGCATCATAAAGGCATGGGACGGTATGCTGTGACATTTTCATGTGTGGCTTGGATTGTGATCTGTCATGGCACACCATGGACATTGCATCAAGGCAACTGCACAGTAGTAACATGAAAACAGCATGTCTCTTGACTTGGGGGACAGGTGAAGTAGCCACCACAGGGAAACTGCCAGTAATGACACTTATGTTGTGCAGAGATGAATGCCACCTGTGGCGTTGTTGGAACAAATGCTACATCCTGGATATGTATGCTTTAAGTCCAGGAATCGTCCTCAGAGGAAAGTAGCATGCTGGAACGCTTGTGGAGATACCAGCAGCTTCTATCATCATTCAATTGTTAAGAGGTGGTTGGTATGCCATTCATGGCTTGTGTGCTAGGATGGCACACCATGTGTGGCATCTTCACCATACCGTAGTCTGGTGAGCAGCAAGTAGGGAGATGCGATTCTGCCAGTCTCTGCTGTCTGCCATTTGATGTGTGGAAAGTGATCTTCTGTGCACAATTTGCCCCTCCTCAATTGGACAGCTGCCTGAATCAGAAGTTCCTGCTCCTGTTTCAAAGGAGAAGACCTTTCAAGATGACTACACCAGGGAGCTGTACGCGAAGTGTGGCCAGGACTTTGTTTCAGAAAACCGCTGGCGCGATCAGAAGTACGACATACACGAGAACATTGCCATTGAAGGGTTCCAGCAGCGGTTGTTGGCCATTCAAGACGCCGACAACCTGCCGTGGTGGGCATCACCCGGCTGGTTCGTTTTGTCTTCCCTCTTTGGTCTGACATGGCCGTTTCGCATGGTCCTCAATTCGCAAGCATGCCGTGCTCAATTCAAGATTGTGAAGGTGATCACATGCCATCCACCGCAGTCGCAGAGCCCGTTCGGAGTGCCCCCTCTGCCAACGGTCTAGCCATCTACGTGCTTGTCTCGGTGACCTGTTAAGGAACGTGACAGACATATGGGAAGAAGAATGGCAGTCGCTGTTGTTTATAGCTTTCTGGCTTTTGAATGATTGTCTTCGAGGGCAGTGGCTTCAGCGTGGACTGACGAGGGCTGCTTGTGCCTTGTATTCAGAATTGTTGATTTGGATTATGTGGAGCTGCCAGTTGAGGTGCATTGTATGCCGCAAGTGCTAGAATGTTGTCGTTTGGGTGTTGGGTGACGTAATGCGATTTCAGGCGCTGGGCGAAGGTGACATGCACCGACGTTGCTGTTTTGTTTTGGTGATGCATAGTGTACGATACGTGAACGCGGCAAGACTAGAATGATGCCAAGGTTCCTGGGAATCCAGGAACGGATGGCGATGCAACACAAATGCTCAAGCACTGTTGCAGATTTTGTAGAATAAACCAACCACTGTTCGTGGTGCTGTGCACGAGCAATGAATCCACCATACATTGCCGTGCGAGGCATTGCAAGGGCTGCCTAGGAGCTGCTCCCACAGACTGTTATAAATCCACTGCGTTTTGGTTGCCCGCCCCAAACTGTTGCGTACATCCCAACAGAGATCCCCCAATTTTCCTTCTGCACGAAATGGCTCTGAATTGCAGTCATGACAAGCTTAGTTGATGGTTTGTGCTAGCCATCAAGAACTGCAAATGTCTCCCTGGCGGGGATGGAGGTCTCACGGAAATATTGCAGGCCGCTATTGAGTCCCTTATGTTGCGACACTACAACCACACTGGAGCAATGTGGCAACCGAAAATTGGAGGATAGCCCACTGGGAGACAGTAGGTGTTGAAGACTTGGCGATGTTGAGCAATTGGCAAACTCCAAATCTAATTTAACCGTGGAATGGCATGTTGTTTTCGACCAAAAGGCACGGCACTGGGCCTCAATTGACAGGACCATAAAACGCTCTTTTGTGGTTAAATTGCATGCCAAGTGTGTGTGGTTGTGGTCGCGTGCTGACTAAACGCCGCCAAAGCCCCAATTGCCCCACATCATAGAAGCCGCACGAATTGGATGGAGGAACCAAAGCCATGTCATTTGCACTCCTTGAGGCAGCCACAGCTGCCTGGGAACGTGCAAACAGTCGATGTGCTGCTCCTCATACTACAGTGGTACACAATAGAGCAGTGCGGAATGGAGTGCAGTAACAAATTCACAAGGAGCGCAAAATGCCTGCTGCAGCAATGCGCAAGCAATCGCTACGCGACGACTGGTGTCTGTTTTTCTATTCCACTCCGCCCATTCTTCGGATGAAAAGTGGGTGTATTGTCCATATCTCCGCTGCCAGATTGTCTCATCGCATTTTCTAATTGTGATGCAGCTTGAAAGTCAAGTGGACGTCGATGAATGAGGTATATCTGCAAGCGGGGCGCCACTATATTTTCACCCATGTCTGGGATGCTGGAAAATGAATGCATACCTTGCGCATGTCCAAGTCCCGAAATTAAAGACCTTAGTACACATCGTTGATGCACCACATGAAGGTTCCTGTGACGCTCGCGAACACAAGAACGGTGAAGCCGTTTTGGAAGTGCTGTGCACCTGAAACACATTGAAAAATCTCCTTCGGCTGTCGTTGACATCCCAAATTCGAAAGGACAAAATTATGTTTCGCTGAGCCACGGATGCCGGCAGCTGGTTCTTCACCAATCAAACTGCCCTGGAACATGCCAAGCGTTGATTTCCTCGCCTGTACCTCCATCCTTTTTCCCCACACGCATCTTTCGTCGTGCGATGCTGGAGTGCTGTGATGGATACAAACACAGGCGCTTTCACCTTTGCTTTTCGCTGGGGTCCAATCACAAACGCAACGTGAGTCACACGTTCACATTCACCTTTGGAAAATCCAAACATGAGGCACACGTGTAGATTTCCGTTCTGGGAACCCAAACTTAGCACAAGCGTTCACGTTCATGTTTTGAAAGTTCAAATGCCATTAGCACGTTTGAACATGCTACAATTTCTGCTCCGATACGAAGCGCGAATTCCAACAGAAGACCGGGAAGAAATTCAACTTGCTCGTTCGCCACCGCCATCGACGCTTTTGTCAGATCTCCAATACCAAAGCTTCAGTTCCGGATGACTGCGTGCCTATGCACAGTTGAGTTAACTTCTAATATGACTATCTGCAAGTCCTGCACTGCCGCATTTGACCTCCGACATTTCTGAACGCTTCTCACAGAATCGGGTAGTTGTTTCGACTACATTTGTTTGGGTATCCTTGAACCAGTGCTTACTCCATTCTCCATTCTTCCAGCGATTATGCAATTTGAAGACATTCCTTCACTCTGGGTTTCTGGACACTTGAGAGGACACTATACAAGAAAATGTTGATGTGACGAATCCCTAATTTTATTGACCGGTCATGCGGAGATCATGCCTCCGCAAGACATTCGGGCGCATTCTTCATGGAAGAATTGGACAAGTGGATTCGGATTTAAAGATGGGTTTTCTCCATGTGATCACCTCTTTGCCCTGGTTGTTGACAGAACTCGTCGTGCACAAAAGCAGACATTATTCTATCTTAGGCGGATTTTTGCGAAGTATGCGGTTCACTCGATCATCAAAGATTGTGGGAAATTTGGATTGTTTAAGTATAACCAAGAGTATGTGGACATGTGGAAAGCATTTAAAGGAGGAGCAACTTTCTTCGCTCAAGAATCACAAGGCCGCTCACCATCAGTTCTTATGGGCTAAGGGCTAAGGGTGTTGTGCAAGTATGCCCACCTAGTCCTTTGCTTTACACCGTATTTCCAGAGCATTGTGACAACTTTTGGGCAGCATATTCAATCTCCAGTGACCTCACAGGTTCTGATCACCACATTGATATTTTCTGATGATACTGATGTACCTGTGTACCCATGGCATCTTGGAGCCAAATTGTACAGGCGTTCCGAATTTTACAGGTGTGGGAATCTCTGACTGGAATTGGGCCAACTTTTTCACAGACTCGCACCACGGTTTTCTTTACTCCGGATACCCACGGACTTAGCTTGAACTCTTGGGACAGTTCAATGGCAACAGTTCACAGCCATTGAGGCATTGGAATTTCTGCCGATGTTGGCCTTGATGCTGCAACAGCATGGTGACTCGTAATGACTCATTGGGTCATGCGACCGCAGGTCCGACTTGGAATGGGCAAATACATTTTAACCTGCGATCGCGTTTAACCTTAAGGGTTGGACCGCATGACTACACAGCCGGCTGTAACATGTGCCATGCAACATGTAGAACACACGCGCACATTCCAACCTGCGGTTGCATGACCCAATACCCCAAGTTTCAGGTGCAGCGGACCAGTCCCAAGCCTCGTACGTGCGTGCACCGTGCGACACCAACCACCCAGCTCTGGGGATCGATCGCGCCTCCCGCGAAGCTGGTCCGCGAAGCCGGGTCCCTTGCTGCGAACCTGTGCCCGCTAAGTAACACCCCCGACCCACCCACCCCGCTCCCCGTGCTCCTGGCCCTGGGCGGCTCCCAAGGCGGCCCCCCCGGGCGCCGCGCCCCCCCCGGCCGGTCGCTGGTCAACGCCCACGCGCCCGCCGACCGCCCCCACTCCCGGCCCGTGGTATTCCGTGCCATGTTGGCACCTTCGGCGTCAGCGCCCACTCTCCCCGCCGCCCGGATGGCAGGCAGCGGGCGCCTGCCTGCCCGCCGATCGGTCGCCCATGAGCCTGCCGGGTGGCGGGGAGCGCCGACAGGATGGCGCAAGGCCGGCTGGCCGGCCCGTCGTGGGCCTTCGCATGTCCAATCGGCGGCGGGCCGGGCGAAGCGATCGGCTGCCCAGGTCGATCCGCGATGTCGCAGGCATGTGCCTGCGGCTGCTTCCCGCGGTTCCAGGACCGCCCCGTCCGGTAGGCAAGCTGCGGTCGCCGGCCTGCCTGCCGATCGACCGGCCAGTGGCCTGCCAGGTGCAGGGGCCAAGCCCGTTCCGAATCCGCGCCCCTCCCGTTACTAAATTCGGCTGCTCCGCATCTCGCTCCGGCACCGTTACTTTTTTATTCATCGACTCCGCGAAAAAGGGCCCCGCGTTACGTTACCATGCGGAAGGGTTTGAAACCTACGGTATGTGATCGCCGAGGGCGCCATCAATACAGTGACCACGCAAGCGGGGGCATCGGGGGTCGCATCAGTACAGTGGCCACGCGACCGCAGACCGGAAGCTACCAATGCGAAGCAGATACTGTGCACCATGGCGCGTCGCGATTCGTGACAATCCGTGCCCACCAGGTCAGGCCGAAGCCAACGGGCGCCAGGAGCGTGGCTGGGGTTAGAAGTCGACGGGCGTTGGCCAGCCGATTTCCGCCGATCGGCGGCGCTCGCCGGTGAGCGGGGTGGCCTCGCGGCGCGGGGGTTGGGAGGGGCTGACGTCGCGCTGCTGCTTTTGCCACCTCAGCCCATCGGAGCGCGCCCTCAGAGCGATAGGGGAGGGGAGTGGGCGCTCCATGCGCCTGAGCTGCAAATCCCACAAGATCCCGGGATGCGGAAGGGGGGGAGTGCGGCCATCGGGATAGGATTCGTGCCTCCCGTGATGGGTCTCTCATGAGTCCCTGCTGAGGGACTTCGGCGGGCGATCTGCCGCGCGAGTCACCAGTGCCCGTTGCGCCAGCGCTCTGGTCAATTGCTGGGGCTCATGTTTAATGGAGGCCTGGTCTCCTGGCCGGCGTGGACCCACCATACGAGCCCCGGTTTGTGAATTTGAGGGTTCCGGGGCCGGGGGCTGCTGCGCCGACAGCGATTTCTCATCCCAAAACCGGGATCCAGAATGTGGATTCCACCAATGCCTGTTTAGATCAAGAAACCTGGGAACGCGGGGAGCGGCGGCGGGGTAAAAAGCTGTCGATGCGGTGTTGAGCAGTTTGAACAAGCTGGGTCACGGAGCACACAGCATCCAACGCGTCGTTTAGTTGGGCTGTGGCTTCCATGCCTCGAATTTTCCTGGCACCAAATTGGCGATTT